ATAGTAAAGGAGAAATGTCGTACGACGGTCAGCCGCTCCCTGACCGACATTGACGCATTAAACGCTAAAGTCTCCTCAATAATTCGCACGGCGGCGAAACGGACCGTGCCGAAAGGGGGCGGCGTCGCCCCTCCATTCTGGACAAGAGAGCTCACAGAGCTCGATGTGGCGATTCGAGCCTGCAAGTGTGAGCGCAAGCGGGACGTTCTCATACTACAGCGCAGACAACTCTTAGTCCAGACGGCTGTGGATAGATGGAGGGAACGCACCTCGAAGATGACCGTCACGGATGGACCAAGCTGGAAGCTTCTTCGCGTCCATATACGCCCCCAGGCCCATCTCAACGCCCGTATTTGTAGCACAAGACCACCCCCTCACGAAGACCCAGCACGCCAACGCGCTGGCCACTCTGTACAGAGACAAATCCACCCGCGCCACTGGAGCCCCTGTTATGGTTCTTCCTCCGGTGCCTCAGGCTGACTACCCCCCTCTCACCAGAGGGGAGCTACTCCAGGCCATCAGTGAGCTCAATAATGGAACAGCCCCGGGAGAGGACAATATCTACTGCGAGGAGCTCAAGGAGATGGGCCGGGTAGGGCACGCCATGCTCCTGCGACTCTTCAACCGCAGTCTCCGCAGTGGCAAGGTACCAAAGCAATGGAGAAGAGGCATCATTATCCCTCTGCTGAAACCGAATAAACCAGCCTCGGATCTGAGCTCGTTCCGTCCGGTTACCCTGACCAGCACACTATGTAAACTGATGGAACGCATGATAGCCAGGCGTCTTCGAGATGCTGTGGAACACAAACTTCAACCTCAGCAGTCGGGGTTTCGTCAACAGCACTCCACGCTCGACACTCTGGCCATGGTGATTGCCGCGCTACGACGCGATGACCCCGAAGAGAGGACGGCGGCGGTATTCATCGATTACGCCAGAGCCTTTGACTCCGTGGATCATGGCTGCATCATGCAAGCACTACAGTCTTTTGGTATCTCTCCGGTTCTCCAACGGTGGATTGGCTCTTTTCTGGGTGGCCGAACTGCACGAGTGCGTGTCAACAACACCTACTCCAGGGACGTGAAGCTCACATGTGGTGTTCCTCAGGGTTCTGTACTAGGCCCACTGCTCTTCATCATAGCAATAGACTCCTTAAGTGTGCGACTCAATGCAATTCCCAATCTCGCACACGGTTTCTTTGCGGA